TTAGAAATGACTCGACGATACCTGTTTTTTCTCTTGTTTTAGCATGAGAAGAAATTCACATTGGCGCCAAGAATCCATCTCGTAATACTACTTGAAATGGGTCAAAGACTATAAGCTCATGTGATATTAACGACAAATGTAGAAAAAGCAGGAACAAAGCAGAAAATCATGCAAACAATAAACTTGGTAATCAAATGGATCCTTTTGCACTAGAGTACAGAATCAAAAGAATTTAAGGCCTCCTTCTTTCTTAACTCGAGACTGAGCCATCAAAAAGCGAGGGCTAAAGAATGTTGAAGCAATTTTATCGAGTTATTGGGACAAATAACACTTGTACTTTACCCGTACGCACCTTGCAGGTAATGCGAAATCGATATGATTACTCTAGTCCGAATAGCATATTTGTCGAGCAGACCAGTTTTGTGCGAACAAAATCGGCAGAAATGAAATGTTCTAAATCCTAACTACTTACATGGTCATGGAAAAATTTGCTGGGTTGGTTCTTGCTCCTTGCCTTCAAAACAAAATGAATTTTTTACTCAACTGTGAAGAAGCAAAGACAATATAAATATGCGCAAAACTAAGAATCATTGCTGCAGAGACTCATTTTTTCTAAAATTCTGGCATACAAGTTTTTTTACTTGAAACTGCCCCATAAAAAGATTATTCAAAAATACTGCAAATGTAAAGTAAAAAATGTCAAATTTACACCAATAAACTTTACTACAAAGGCCAATAATTCTTGTCTAGTTAGGTACCATTTTGATTCGTTTATCAAAAATATCTCGAGCTTAGAATTTGAGATTCCTAAAAAATCAAAGCCCGTATAACCGAACACTCATTTGAATTATAATGTTAACCACATTTTTAGATTTTTTACTTTGTTAATCTATATAAAATGTAAAAACCGCACCGCTCTTCCACACTTTTTCATTAGTTTTGTAAAACCAAACGAAAGACCCCCCTCTTGACCTTCTACGAGAAGACCTCACGGAAACACAGAAAAATGCCTTGATTGTCATGAACATCAAGTGCCAGGTGTGGGCGCCTATTGACCTTGTTACAATACCTTCGACCAATGACTTTTGGTCGTGAATGAGGTGTTTGAGCAGAATGTAAAAGTGATAGTAAACGAGTGAGCAGCTGAGCACTTAAAAACTGCTGTGAATGACGCTGTGTGGACGAGTTGCAGCGATGTCCCAAAACTCAATTACTGCGCAGAAAATGCCCGTCTGAGTAACTCGGTGGGGAAAACTAGTTCGGCCAGAAGATTTTCGTGACACCCTCAGCCGAAGTAATGTTATGCAGGCAAGCCTTTGCTCAGCAGAAGCACTTTTCGGATTCGAAAGTGTTTTTTCTGCAGCGGGAGAAAAATCAAGCGCCGCGCCGCAGATGTTCGACGGATCCATTTGCGGGATTCTTCGAATGCCGCCATGACATAAATGGGAAATGCGTGCGGAAGGACGCCGTTATGGGAACGGCAATAATCGCCGTTTTTCTTCGATTTACTCGCAAAACGATGATTTCCTGCGCTGGCGCCCTATCCGTTCACCATTTCTCGACGGCAGCAGTCGGGCTTGCAAAACAGCTGCGTATCTGTCATGCACTCATTCAAGCGCAAAAAATTTTCGGAGTTTTTTTTTTTTAGAAAATAGCAATTAAGACCAAATTTTCACGCGGATTGCGAAAATGAAAATCCTGGAGGAGATGTTGATTTTTACTGATAAAACTATAAGCTGTAGCGTCGATATGACTGTGAAATTTTATTTTTCGTAAATAATGCACAGGAATTCATATAGTTCTGAAAATAAATTGTTGTAGTAAAACGGATACTTTGTATGGTTATGTATGGTTGTATGTATCCGATTGGTTTTTATGTTAGGTGGTTTTGTGGTTTTAATATTGCAGTTTAATATCAATATTGCAATCATACAAAATATCTGTTTCATTTACCCTAATTCAATTCAGAACTGTATGACTCCAGCCCCATAGATGTCGGTGCGTTATTCAGAATACTGGGCGATTATTTGATCCGATTGGTTTTTACGTCAGGTGGTTTCGTAATTTTTATCTTGCAGTTTTTTGTAGGTTAACAGAAATTTTCAGGGCCACGTACAAATTTGGCTGAATTCACACAAGCAAAGTTGGATTGCACTAACACCAAAAACTCACTCCACCTCTAGTAAACTTCACTTCATTACACTCTGCTCTAAAAATGATGTGTAAAGTATATGCAGAATAAATATTCGTAACCAAAGCAATTTTGCAAATTTATAAGCTGCATAAACAAAGACGTAGTCAAATACTGAATTAATTCACAGCAGAGGCAGGAGTTCCAACACAATGGGTGATGCTAAGGAGAGTCAACTTTTTTCTCTTGCGAATTTACGACGATAATCCTCTCGCGTGCACATAAAATTTTTCTACGAATCGCAGACACTCAAAGTGTCTATAATCGGATTTGAGGTCGATTAGACAGAAGACAAACCAGATGAATTGAAGGCATTGAGGGTGAAGGACTCTAGGAAATCGGATCAAGAAGTTTACTCAAGAAAAATGAACGGAAGTGATGGAGGGTGAAAATGTGAATAAAGCTTCCCATGTGTGCGGATTCTCATGTGTTAAGCTTGAAAATGAAAACATAATTTTAAAAAAAATTGAGATTAGATCGATGTCTTTCCAATTAACAAGTATTTTCGACTGGGCACCTTTTAGAGCACAATAAGATTGGACAATATGTAAATGAATTAACAAATAAATAAATAAATAAATAAATAGGACAATGAGAAGAACTTAGCCAAAACAGTAAGTGGTGAGTTGATAGACTCCTAGACAGGGCTCGGCACAGGTGGCTTACAAGCAAGCTGGATATCGTTTTTGGGACGAAAAGCAAAGGGGGTTTCGTTTTTGTGACCGAAGAGAGACGCAAAATTGGCGACTTGGCGACGTTTTTTTTTAGTCGACGTTTCGTTTTTTGGGGGGATTTTGGGGAATTTTTCAGGTTTTTAGAGGAAATTTGGTTGAGGGTCAAAGGGGACTTCGTAAAAATTCCCAAAAGTCAAGGGGGACTTCGTTTTTTCCATTTTCATCTAGCCACCTCGTGCCGAGCCCTGCTCCTAGAGCTTCAAAAAAATCCTTCTTCAATTAGTGAAAAATGAAAGGACGCATTACTTTGACGGAAATAAAAGAATCCTGCAAGTTTCATAGACATTGGAAAAAACTGCGGTCACATTGACATGAGTAGAGTTTGTGGTGCGATAAGGATGGGGCTGAAAGATATATGGTTGGGACGAGTAATGGGCTCAAAAAAAGCGCGATTTACAGCAGATGACAAAACGACATCGCCCATCAGGCGAAGAGAATTCCTTTGTCATGCGGACTCAGCTCTTATAAAGTATGTAAACGGAAAAGACAAAAGCAACGTTGAGCATGGAAAAACTCAGTGGGATAAGTACACACTCTACCTATGCGCATTCATACATGAATAAAAATTTAGCGCGGGTGTTTAACAAATAATTGTCTCAAGATCCTAATCATACAACTTTGCTCTGCTATGCGGCATTCGCTTTGATATCTATTTATTTATTCATTCATTTATTTCATACGCACATTGGCGTGCTCTCAAAAATTCAACAAAAAACCGCATGATAGAAGGTAGAAACGTAAAGTTAGAGAATTAGAAACAAAGTAAATAAAACAAACAAAGCAGTACTCTTTGCTTCTCTATCTTTACGTTTCTACCTCGTATCATGCGGTTTTCTGTTGAATTTTTGAGGGCGCGCCAATATGCGATGAATTAAATAAACAAATTTCGAAAAATATCGACCAAAAATGTTTTTTTCCGTTGAACTTGCTGCACCGTTGCAAAATTTGCAGATGTGACCGTGAACACACACAAAAGGGACGTCGCTATTGTACTTTTCTTATTCTGTTGCCTCCAAGTGGAAAAGTGAAGTGAATGTGCAAGTCCACAAATCTATAAATGACCTCTCGGAGGTGTATAGATCAGTGAATTTTTGCTAATTTTGCCTTGAGAGGAAACATGGAAGAAGTTTGAACATATAGAAGAGGTTTAAATATTTGCCATTATACAGACAAGATTCACATATTTGAACGATATATCAAGCTGGAATGTTTCTGAACATATCCCATAATATTTGTAAACTTGAAATACACAAAGTGCGCTACTTAATGACTTGTAAGATTAGAATTTGCTCGGCATCAATTATTCCTTGCTCTCTATTTTTTCGTTTGGGATACGAATTATTGGGTACACATATAGCACGTTATGTCAGAAGAGGTTTTACTTGCTGAGGAGTTACGTACTAGAAAGAGTGTCGTCGATTATCGCGCATTGTGTGGAAGCTCACATATCAAGTTACAAATGACCTGATGGTACGTAGCTTGAGTCATAATAAAATGCAAATAGACAATAGAATGAAGGGGGAATATCAAATCTTCCTCTGAGATTTGATAAAGCAAGCCGATTGGAATTTAGCCGGAATCCATTTTGCAGCGTAAATATAGTATTAAAAGGCTCCAAAACAGGAATTTTTTCACTAGCAGGTAATTCTAGCAGTGAGACCTAACATCAGCTCAATCCCTCGAATTCTCAGTAGACATAGAAGCTCAGATAGAGATAATCGAATACGGCATAAGGAAAGGCACGTTTGAGTCGAACGAGGCGTTTGCGAACAGCTGGGACAACAAAAACCATGAGCAACACTCGACGCTCGAAAAACGCCCGACGAAGAGGGCGGATTCAGTGAGAGAATGATTTAGGACTACTTGAAGGTGGAATCAAAAGAAATAAGCAGTCAGTCGTTCGTGACGCAAGCTGAATGCTTATTTATACGAGAATAAAGTAGAGATTAAGAGAGAGAGATAAGAGATTGGAGAAAAATAGAATTCCTAGCAGAGTTCTCCCCAAAAACTGGAAATAATGCTCATTACAAAGAAATCCATACATTTAAATAAATCTATACCAAATCTAAAAATAACTAAACTATAATAATTATCTATAAATTTTTCTATCTGACAAATCTATGCTTTTCTACCAACTTTTGTCTTTTATACTTTTTTCTTTTCAGAAATTTATACTTCTATTCGTACAATAACACGGAAAGATATGCTTAAGTTTAAAAACTTCAAATACTTTGATATGAGGATTCTTATGAAGCATGAACACATAGATCAAAATCCAAAGTGATGGACGAGGGAATTAGACATGGAAATGATGGAAGATAGCAGCAGATGGGGGATGGCTATCTCCAAATTAGGGAAGTGAACCAGCCAGATAGCAATAAGACATCAGGTTGAATTATCTGAGCAAGAGTCCTGACAGAGCAGTTTATGACATTTTCCAATATCAGATGTGAGGTGGTACATCGTTTACACAATATATTCTTTATTAATAGATGAATAAATTGCGCAACTATGCTATGCCTATGCTCTATCTTTTTTTCTTTTTCGTTTAAAAATGTTTTGAGAAGTCGGCATGTTATTTTATTTTATAAATACACTCGAGGTGCACCAGAATGTAAAAGAAATAAAAAGAAGGTACAAACAAATGAGACCAGCTAGTCCTCAGCCTCAAGAGAAGATAAAAGAAAATACGGATGGAAAAACGGAACACGAAGCTCTAGACGCAGCTTGTAAGCTGAACCAAAGTACAGTAGTCAAAAACAACAATCTCAAGAAATCTTGCATACTCTAAAATTGAAGATACCCCATTTTGAGTGATACGCAGAATCCCGACGACTGGACTTGAAAATGAGCCTCGATGAGAGTGAGTTCGTTAGCATCTTGAAGCGAAATAATCGATGAAAGTTTGCAACCTTTTTCAATGAAATTTTTTTTTGAAAAAAAAATTGCTGAAAAAAATCGAACAAAAAAAAAAGAAATACACTCCCGATTTGGCTCATATGACGTTCGTTCGGTTCTTCAGTTCGTTTCATTTATCAAAATTGTGATCGAATATTTGGAACAGAAGAACGCGGTTTTAAAAAGGGGGAATTCGCCAAAAGACAAATAACACATGTAATCAGAGCTTGATCGATCTCACTGAGTAAATATAATGAGGAACCAAGGAATAGACTACGCTCAGAGGCAACCTTAAAGATGAGTGTAAAACTATAAAAAGTGAAGGAATCTATAATGACGTTATTTGACAGCTGCTAATGGAACACGTTTGCACGTTTTGATGGTTTAAAGCCGTGAAGATCTATGGAATGAAGGAACTCAGGAAATCTATGAGGAAAAGGGATTGAAGACTTCCATATCGATAGCTAAGGGTCCCTCTTTTTAAAAGACATGCAACGATAGCAGAAGTTTAACGGATTTGAAATTAAAAACATAAATAATTTGAAAAACAACAGCTATCCAAATTTTGAAACCAAATTCATATTCCGGAAATGTGAAAAGTGAAAATTCTTACGAGAACCAGTCCCACATTAGAAATTTACGAGCACTTTCGCTTTGACAGTCATAGGTGTTCTCTAGAACACATTTTGAAAGTCATTTATTTTGATGCAATCAATAACCCATAAATGGACAAAAGAACTTGAGAATACTTGAACCTTTAAAACCAAAGAAATGTTGTTGTGAAAGTCAAAAGTCGCTAGTCAAAACCATCCATTTCGAAAGAAGTAAAAATGTGGCATTGACAGAACCGAGTGAAAAATAGATACTTGCAGAGATTGCTAAATTTAAGATTTCCAAAAATAGGTATAGCAATTTTGTTTGCAATGTTGGTGAAGTATTTTCAAACTCAAGAAGAAACCAAGATATTCGGTTTTTGTGGTTACCAAAATTTTAACTATAAAAAGCGGAAAATAGTGAAAGGAAATGTTGGCTCATACAAATGTTTTTATTCCGAACGTTACGAGTCTTTAAGAAAGTAGAAAATCTTACCAAATGTGCTATGATTCGAGTAAAGCCGGACAATCAGCTGGACATTTTTTTAGCTTTATGTACGAAAAATTGGGAAATCGAACTGTACAACAATGGGAGCTGTTACGAAATCACAGGCTTTGAATGAATATGACAACTTGTGTCGATAATGACATTGGTCGAGCGCGAACGAACGAGTGGGACGAGTTTTACTGTTCTCAACTTTTTTGCGATTCACGCGCACTGGACGATTGCTAATTTGTCGCGTGGTAGTCTAATGTTCAATATTGGATTAGAAGCTTTGGCTATTCGATGAGTCAACGAATACTCGTCCGAAGAGCCGAATAGAGCCTCGTATGGCTCAATAGCAAGCCATCTATGTGAGTCAAGCGCCTAAGAATCGACCAAGATTCCCCCCCCCCCCCCACACCACGACCATCTGCTTCTGCGATCGATGTGATGACGGCTGGGCAGCAGCTCCAGCGCCAGCAGCAATTAGATGGCAAGTTAGATGCTAGTCTAAGCTCAATTTTCTTTTCCTTTTTTTGCAGGAGGCAATGCATGGCTAATTCTATGCATGTATACTGCAATATCAGAGCAATGCACTCATGCATGTTGATGAATCTTGCGAAGGGCAAAGCTGGTTGGAGGGACTTTTGTGTACTACTCGAGGACTCAAGGATGTTCAGAAGCTCTCGAGATAGGGCTAGATGACGCCTATCGATAGGACACAATGCTTACAAAAAACAGTTACGACTAAGTTCTATTCTTCAAACGTCATTTTAGCAATAATAAATCGCAACATTTTCACCTGCCCTAACTATTAGGTTGGGTAAAAAAGAAGTTCGTTTTGACATGCGAATCTTCATTAAGAATTTTCCTGTTATAATCTACCCATGATTTTTTGTGTGAAAGTACCTCAAAGCTTCCTCTATCACATATCGTACTTAGGATTCTCTACCATCAGTAAAGACAGTTATGCCTCAACAATTTCCAGAAGCTCAATTCCTTGACTTCCTAAGCCTCGTTATCATGCTGTACTGGTTGGTAAGAACAGCAGTTTGGTACTTGGATACAGAGGAGTTGTTCTTATATAGTGAACAACAACTGAAGTGTGATCTGCCACTTTGAAATTCTTTTAAAGTGTGATCTGCCACTTTTTCTTTTATAAAAAACCAAGATTCCTCAAAATTTCGCATTATGAAAAAATCGGGGTTTCTCACTTCTTTGCGGATTCTTTTCCTTGAGAGATAAGTTCTACTCAAACAGAATTTATACCCCAATTTCCATTGAAACGCTCTTGCCAGAGTTGCCAAACACTGGACAAAAATTTATCTGCAGCTTTATGAGAGCCGCAAAAGCGACCGAACTTATTTATTAGCCAACATACTTTCAATCTCTAGCTATTACAACGTAATTTTGCGGGAAATTTTGATGCAATCCAAATATAATAAAAAATAGGCGACATCGTAATTTATGTCTATAGATAATTCAGATTACAAAAGCGTTTTTTATTACTGATCTTCACTTATCTCTCGTTATGCTCAAAGCTATGTAGCGTTTTTGATAGGGCAGGTAAGATGTGGCGCATATTCTTCTGTCTGAAAACTGACTGCTGGAGATCCAATGTTTTTGAATGGAAACAAAATTTCAGTGAAACATCTACAAATAAAATTTGTCACTTACAGTAATGGAGGCCAAATTATGTATATTTGATTCTGAATTCTAAACAGTGTACGTGCTTCTTGCTAATCACACTTTTTTAAAATGGAATAATTTATCTCAAGAAGGGAGGTAACTCAAAAGTCACTAAATAGAGTTCAAATGGGCCTAAGTCAGGAAAAATAAAATAATCGCTCACTAAGGTGCTTATTAGTGGCATTATAGAGGAATCTGAAGCGTGTGCATAGATTGGAAAGGTAGCCCACTTACCAGAGCAGCTGCTATACTGCAAAGATCGTTTTAGTAGAATTATTATTAGTAAGTTAGTTCTTCTCAGCCTCTGAGTGACCAGCAATTCTCATAGAACAGTGAACAACGAGCTAGGCCGCATTCGATAGTAGCTATTATACATTTAAGAACTAATTATAAGTCAACACCAAGTTAATGACAACATTTCCAGCGCTAAATTTAGCACAAGCCTCCCAAATGTTCATTTCCGTATTGATACTTGGAGGAAACCAGATACTGACCAGGGGAGGACCCGGAGTCGAAGACGGCTTTTCAGATAAAATATATACCAGTTTGGAGAGCATCAAACGCTGATTACAAAACTGTCTTTGTTATCTGCCAAGCGCTTTTAGACGCTGACTTATGAGCGTTTTTTGCCTTTAAAATAGTGGATGCTCAATAGGAACAAATTTGTTTAGAATTGCGCAAATGGCCCACGTTGGGATAGCAAAGCATTTTATTAATGAGAAACCTCTTGTCTGATATACTCGTACTCTACACTTCTTTATTTGAGCTCTGGAAAGACCGAAAACATGGATTTTGCCCAAATTTTGTCATCATTTTTTGCTCCAAAAAACCCTCATAATTCAGCGCCTAAATGCGCTTGGCAAAAAAGCTAGAATTGGAATCAGCGCTTGATGCTCTTTAGATCGGTATATATTCCATTTGGAAAGCTGATTTCGACCTTGGGTCCTCCCCTGGTGAGCAGAAAAATTTCCATACACTCATAGCTTGAGATCAAATTGATGGTTCTTTACACTGTTGCAAATTCTATTTCCAAAGCTTGAATCCAGAGACGCGGACACAATTTCCAGGCCTTTTTTTGCGGACGCGTGACACATATCCGCAAAAAAGCATGGAAATTTTGCATTTTTGCAAATTTCTAGTTCAAGAGAAGAAAAATTTTGCAAAATTAGGGGGCTATTCGATGAGAAAATGACTCTAGGCTTTACCATCTATGCATTCTTATTTCGTCTACCTCACAGTAGACAAAAATCTTAAGGATTAGAGGACACTATAACGATTACATACATAGATTATAAGAACTATGGCGAATGTCGAGAATTATAAGGCGACAAATCGATCACCTTTTGCAAGTTTTATGTCTTTTCAAACAAGAAGGTAAATAGAGCGACAAAATATCTAAAGCGTACGACAAACATTTTTGCCGTTGTCGATGTTTGTTACAGATGAGGGTTCTCGAAAATCAAATCACATATTTTGACATGCTGCGTTGATAGATTAGATTGTTTACGTTTTCTACAAAATCTCAAAAACTCTGGTTTACTTCTTAAGGGTCAGAAGAGGTACATTTGTGTGATAATATTGTGTTGTCCCAAAAGTTAACTCCTTTTTTAGATAAGTCAAGTTTTTGTTTTTCTAGTAAACTTAGGGTATGATTATGATTTGATAGAGCAGATAAAGCTCTACAAAACTTCCGCTACTAATTAGCCCAAGTTGCATTCCACGGATAGTTTCAAGCAAAAATTTTATTACCTGGAAAGTGGATTTTTGCGAGAAATTTTGAGGAATTCGACTTGGTCATTATACAGTAGGCACATAGTAGTGCTCAAATATGCTTTTATTGATTTTCACGCGTAGGAGGCGGAAAAGAAGATAGCCCAAAAATGGCAACTTCCTAGCGGTCCCTCCTACATATATCATTATATACTAGCCTACAAGCCTTACTCAGTATAATCTCGAAACTTTACTCCTTATGAGCTCTTATATTCGTGAAAAACTAAGATTTACACGAAAAACCCGAAGAAAGTGGCATTTTGGCATAAAATCCGAACATGGTGGCATTTTGGCATTTTCGGATTCTCTTTGTTCCTCAGTTTTGAAGCCCAAAAAATAATTCACATGAATTTTTGGGTATTACTATGTGTCCACTATAAAAAGACCAAGGTGGGAGTCCGTGAAAAATGTGGAAGGGGAACCGATTCTTAGGGTAGCTGAAACATTCGATTTTTGGCTCCAAATTTTACCTGGATTCCAGCTTCTAAGGGAATGGTCAGAAATCGAAGTGGCCAATTCAAGCATGCTGCAATTATGCAGTGTGAAACCTTACTCTAAGCCTGTCTTCCTTGCCTGCAGGACGCTTTGTGAATGAAGCTGAAGCCGTTGAAGACTATTATGCCAAGAAATCGTGCGTTAAAGGGCAAATTTGGTTGTACAAAGCCATTCTCGGCTCAGTGCTGGACCAAAACATGCAATTAGGTCACTCATATGGCCCGTATCTAGAGGTGAGTTAAAAGGGCAACAATATGCCTAATTTTTTTGTGTACAATTTTTTCGCAGTAAAAATTCTCATAACTTCGCTTGCAATGACGTTGTGCAGATATGGAAGGCAGATTTGAAATCAGCGTTCTATGTTACATCGAAAGGTAAGCAGCTTGGATTGGCCACTTCGACTTCTGACTATTTCCTTATTAGGTGGACCTTTGGTGGTCTTTTTGCAGGGCTTGCTTCACTCTTTCGAATGGTACTCTAAGTTTTTTAGTATAACAAAGACAGATTAATTTATTCGAAAATGGAGCTAACTTTTAGGACAATGTTTTAGTGTAATAGTTCAATGTTTTTTGCTGGGCATCAACCATAATTCATGTCTCTGTCTCTGTGTCTCTGTGTCCAACGCTAAACATTCAGTCCCGATAGTCAAGTTTGTCTCGAGCAAGAAATCATTGCACGATATGAACAAGGTAAAGCTGGATAAGAAAGTCTATTTGCAAAAACCAATAAAATAATTATTACTTTGACGTAGCATCTACAGTCAGTGTCAAACTTTTCTTTAAAATATCTTAGCATTACTTTCATATTTTGTCTTAACTGGTTGCCACCCTAACAATAAGACAGAACTCACGCATGATTAGTAGGCAACAAAATGCGATTTTCAAGGTAGTTTTAACTGCTTTCCCATATTTTTCACCTTGATTTAGAATGTCTGCGTGAACTTTAAGTGGGTATTATAATAACATGTATGATATTGTTTGTTCATATAAATGCTTTTCGAACCTGCTGGATAAAAATTGCAATTCAGTCGCTGACAATGACATCATCTCAAAGCAGTGAAAAGCACAGCCGTATCAGCTTGCGGGACAGCTCCTAGCTCCTCTTCCTTTAATATTCTTACATAGCTTTTCAATCAGTCAGAACACCATTTTCTCTTAAAAGAGAAGCTACCTAACTTAGCTCGGCCTTTTGGCAATTGACAATATGTTTTGAATCAGCTTCAAACGCTTCTTTCAAATAAGCTATTCCTAGCTGCCGAGCACCATTCCGAAGCGAGTTATAGACATTTAAGGGCGAAATTGGCATACTCACCGACTCACTGACATCACGGCATCATCAACTACTCAGACAAATCATCGGAACTTCCGCAGGACAAGCCAAATTTGCAGAAGTTCCGCAGGATTTTGTTCACTATTGCAAAAATGAAAACATTGAAAATCGGAACTTCCGCGGGATCTTCATGCCAAACTGGTTGAAAACCGGAACTTCCGCAGAAGCTTCTTCAGAACCCTGCGGAAATTCCGAAAAACACCGGAGGTTCCGCAGCACTTTGGCCTGCCAGAACTTCCGCAGGACTTTGAATGTGTTGTCTCGTGATGTTGCCTCGCCAACAATTAGAGTGCATTATCGAGCATGTCAGTCGTAGCATAGAGGATAGCAGGTGGGTCTCACAGTCAGAAGAGTAAGGTTCAATTTCTCGCTTCGGTGTTCTCTTTTGCTGTTGTGGTTGGCATTCTTCGGAACTTCCGCAGCACGTTTACGGAAATTCCGCAGGTGACCCGGCGGAACTTCCGCAAGCGCTCTGCGGAAGTTCCGGTCATTTGTCTGAGTAAGTGCTAGCACACTTGCGTTAAGCTTCTTCTTGGTGAGAAAAGATTGGATTTGTGTTATTTCGATATTTCAGCACCTTTTTTGCAGATTTCTTTCTACAGCCTGAATTGCCATGTTCAGTAGTATGCCAATACTGCGCAGTAAGAAGCCCATAACTTGCTTCGGAATGGTGCTCGGCAACTAGGAAAAGCATTTTTGGAATCAGGTTTGAAGCTGATTTAGAATACATAGGTCCCTTGCCAAAATGCCGAGCTTGGTTAGGTAGCATTCCTTATTAACAACATTTAGCAATTCAAGTCATTTACGGCCTTTGAGAAATGGACAAAGAATTATAATTTTCGATGTTAGGGTATCAAATGCTTTAACATTTAACCTAGAATTAGGATTTTTAGTTTGGTAAGAGTTCAAGAAAATTTTCTTTTTCTCAATAGTCGTCTATCACCAAACAAACATACCTTTTTTCGTCGTTAATCACATCAAGGATGTTTACCCACACTTCTTTTGATTCCATAATTCTATAGTAAAGGAACCGCTTGATTCTAGCCGTAAAAATATATCCGTGCTTATTTTCTGCAACGTCGAATCCTGCTCAGCAATCCTTTTATGCTTTTTGCAGTTTTGCAAGTATTGTGGAGCTATGGATCACACACAAGATTTCGGGATTCCAAAAGGCAATTAAATATTTATTAGACTCAAGAGCAAAAATTTACAACCAATGAAAATTCGGAAGAAACAACGCGGCATGGCAGTTCGCGGTTGGGGATCAAGTGCATCGATCAGAAAAGCGCAAGAATATGACTAGCTACATACCCGTAACTGGCAGATGGTGTGTTCGGAGATTCGAGAGGGAAAGAGAACAGAGAGATTAGCGACCGATTCATTAGCTTTGCAATGAGATAAGAGCCACGAAAGGAAATTGCATAGCATAGCAGAGGAGGTAATGGCACTCGTGCATCTGGATGATCACATCGGTTCACGGTAATGTCCGTTTGGGACGGTTGCGGAGGAATTCTCTTGGTCTTGGGCTGAAAATGGGTAATCACTAATACTCATTTTCAAAGTTTTCTTATTAGCTTACACTCGGCGGTCCCAAAAGATGCATGCCATTCATACTTCCCTCATTTTCTCAAGTTTAAGTGATAGCTATTCTAATCAATGAATCTCATTTTGGTGCCAGAGCAGTTCAAGGATCTACTTCCTTCCCCCCCTCTCCTCGCCCTCCCCCTTCAGGCTCCCTTTATTCTGGAGAAAGTGCTAAGGGGCCGTTATGTAGAGACGTGTGGTTGTGGGTTCTCCGCACAGAGGAGCTATTGGAGAGATATTTCTCAAGGAGGCAGAGAGAGGCTGACTCAGGCCCACAAAAAGCTTTTTGAGATGTATTCCGAAATTCAAAAATTTTCCCAAAATTTGTAAAAAAAAAGTCGTTGCGGCAGCCACACCCCCAAAAGAATTTTCGGAATTTTCGAAGATTGTCGGAATTTATTTGAGTTGTTTATAAATAAAACAAGCTATTAACACATGTTTGTTACGCACTAGTCGCTTTCAAAAATTTTGCGACCCGTTGATGGCGGCGGGGAAGAGGGGGGGGGGGGAGGAGAGGAAGTAGATCCTTCTCTCTTTTTTGGCAACCTACATTTATCCGTTCATTTGGTCCCATTACATCCATGCTACAAAGTTTGGAAATTGTGCAAGTGACTACTTTTGATGGGATTCTGGGTCCACAAAAAGTTATAGAAAGCATCCCAAAAGTTCCACAGCCGGGGCTGATTCGCCACGCCTCTTAATTCCAAAAAATTTTTTCGTCATGCTATCACGGGGACAACATACTCGAAACGCCACTGATACTTTTTTCAGGCGTCTTATCACTCCGTTCACCGTTCTCCAAACTAACTCTTTCATCCATTCAGCGAATCTTCTTACCTTGATCCAATTCCCGCAGAAAAACGCCCATATTCGACGTGATCTGATCAGCAGCTTGTAATAAGTCTCCCTGTAATGCCATAAGTACGCATTATTTGCCAATCAATACCGATCAATACAACATACTTGTAAATTGACAGTCGTTGCCGGAAGACTGCCAGCTCGGAATGCCGTGGAGACCTTGCTTCCCACTCCAGCCAAAGAGTCCGGTATTTGTGACATGGACGATGATGGGAATGTTGTTGTCGTGCCAGGAGCCTGAGAAAAATTTAGTTGGTTAGTTTGTAAAATCCTCTCATCATAATTTTCAAAATCTTACATTCAGCTGGGTCATAAGCTGTTCCAACTGCATCATGAGGTCTCGTCGCTTCTGCTGCATTACATACATTTTCTCTTCAAGCTGGGATTTTCGTTCTCGTAAACCCGTCAATTGTCCATCGTCAGACAATGTCTGAACAGAAATAGAAGTAAACGCAATGACTATAGTTTGAGCTCCCCTACCTGACTCTCCAATCGCGAAATCTCCCTCATCATGAGGGAATTCTCTTCCTCAAGTCGTGCTATCAATGAGCGCTCGTCCATCGGTGGATTTACCGACCGGTCGCGAACACCGCCAAGAGGGTACTGTAAAGTGTGAGATTACGGAAAGCGCATGGGCGATTCAAAGCAGCTCACATCCGCACGTCCACTCAGTTTCGCTGAGTACCGAGCTATGAGCTTGTGTTCATCATCGAGAGCAGTTCCGTTGACAATCTGGCCAGGAAGCAACACCGGCGATGACGGCCAGTCCGGAATCGGATCTGGTGGCGCTCGCCTGAAAATTCAGGACCTAGTTAGACTAATGACTTGATCAAGGAGTATCAAGAGGTTGTTTTAGCCGGGGTGACCTGATTATGGTACTGAACACTAGTAAAGGTATAAGTGCTATAACCTCATATCCCATGCTCTTTTATTCGAATTTCCATCGATGGTTATGCGCGCCTAAACCTAAGCATGACATTCTTATACTAATGATTTAGTAACTTGTGTCAAAAACAGGTACTCAAAAAATTGCGAGTCAGGAACTTTGTTTAGCATCCACGTTTGCTGAGCCTAAAGCTGTACTTTACAGCTATTGAAAGATGGCAATTCTAGTTGGCCACCACCAATGCGAGTCTTTTAAAACTTCAAAAAAAAAAACTTTTAGAAGAAAACTAAGTTCTAAGCATTTGTGAGAGTAAGATGTAATGTCCAAATCAAGGGCAGAAGTGTCTGCCCAAAAATATAACGATCAAGTTACATTTTAAAACCCTTTCTCTATAAACTGGCATCGTTACCCACCTCATCGACAACGGAGTGGCCGGCACAATATTCTGTAGCTCAAGCGGCCGTTGCGGTCGTTCGGCAAATAATGGTGGCTGCTTCGCGTTCGCATTCGTTGGTATACATTGTAACGATTTGTGTATGGAATGTGCTAGTTGTTTTGTAGGGGACTTCTGAACACGAAAATCTGAAGAACTGGGAGATCGCGGCGGAAAAAATTCCACTCACGTAGCTAGAGTATTCCTTCATTTCGTGTTCGTTAGAGTGACTCTGGCTGGTGCGACCGCGCCAGAAACAATTCTGGCAGAGCTGATAGTTCGAGCATCGTTGGCATTTGTAGCGAAAGCCAGTGAATGATCGGACCTGCAATAACAGTTACCTAAACAAGATATAGACCAGAAGTGGCTGCAAGTAGATTGTATGCTTAGATTTTTAATTATTACAAACGGATATCGCATTTTACTAACTTCGTTTACGTAAAAACAGCTCCAAAATCCAAAAAGTGATCTGATACCTGACAAGCATCGCAGACTACGGGATGATAGACATGTTCGACTGAAGCCATACGGTGCAGTAACGGTAGCCACATCACACAAGGAGGACATGGATCGGACATGAACACGTCCAGGAAGTTATTTAATGTCACTCGTTGATCCTTAAAATTGGATTTTTATAGCGAAAAATGATTTCGAAAAGGAAAGTGCACCTTTAGAAAGCACTGCGTTACAGCGGCTTCAGAAAAACCAAACGTGGGAGCTTCAAACACGGCTGTAGTCAACGCTAAGACCTAGAAAAGTAATCATGAACATACAAAAACAATCAGTGCTGAGGAAAAAAGGGTGAGAAGCAGGAGGGATATGAACAATAACTCTTCGCAAAGTAAACTAGCGAGATAAATCAAGAAAGAAACTTTCCTTTTTCAAAAAAAAGTAGATTTAAAATAAAGGACAAGCTCCGATCTAAGTACATTATCAACAGAATATAATTTACCTGCTGCATGAAATCCGTAAATTTGTCATATTCTAAAAATCCAGATGAGTCGGAGATCTGCGAAAACATATCTAAAAAATACGAATAAATTTGTGATTCATAAAACTCTATCAAACATCAAGATAACAAAATTGCCAAACTGCTAACTTTATAACCCTTTTATTTTATGAGTTTTTGTGAAAAAATCTCAGCATTATTTAAAATATTCTTCAATCATTACCAGAAAATTGGTCCAACATGAAACGTCTTCACGTCAAAAAAGTGAATTTTACTTCTTTTTGCAATTTCTGGCATTTTCAAGTCCCTAGAAAATTTTGGCAAACTTGTGAAAAAATACTCACACCTCAATTTGTCCACTAATTTCCCAGCACATATTGTCGCCAATGCTATTTTTATTGAAAACACTGTTAATCGTCCAGTATGTTGCCTAAACATCGTATTAGTGGATATAGCAACTCAGATTTGATAAGTGTAAGCCTTACTTGTCATAGGTTCCTAATAAAAAACTAAGCAATAGCGATATAGACTTGTCGGTATCGATATGTTGCGAGGCGACAAGTCGCTTGTTCAGATTGTGATAGATGGTCGTTAAAAGTAGTTCTATCCGAGAAGTTTTGATCTGGAAATAGCGAAAATAATTGATATAAACTCTAAACAATCAAAATGGTAGAAAATCCACCATAGTATTTAGTATAGTAAACGTTTTAAATGGCGAAATGAAAAAAAACTATTTATAGATGCCAAGGCCTCAAAATTGCGCTTATGAGTTGTGCATGAGCTGAGCTCAGTTCGTCTATTATATTTTATCTTCTTGTCTTTAACAGGACCAAAATTTTAGTTAGGAGGAAAAAATTATCACCGGTCTGAATTACTGTGGCGCTACGGTAGAGTCTGTCGACCAATTACAGCAATCATCAAATTGACTTCACAGTTCGAAAAGATTAATAGACCGTGGTTTCGAACATATGAGTACCGATCAAAAAAAAGTAACGCCATTCATTCTATGAAACAATAAATATATGTATTCTCTTGAGTTCCAATTTTTTTGTAAACCTCAACATATTCATCGAGCCAGAAAACTCTCAATAGTAATTTGCCCAAGATTTCATAAACTGGACGACCAGAACCCCAAAATGATGCAAAATGTTAGACGTTCTAGCGCAGTACTACCAGCTTGAATAGAACGGAAAAAGTCTGGAGTATTGTACCCTAGTTTGCGCCAAAAAATTCAGATATAAGAAATTGGAACCATCAGAAAAAAAACAGTCATTTATTGTCAAGCAATATTTACATTTATTCACACTCTTTTGAAATGTATGCATAGCTCCCGTGTTTAGCTATGCTTGCTATAGTTTCGAGCTATCAATTTCAGGGATATTTCTGCGACAGCCATATCGGATTACTCCGACGCACGTTCTTATGCTAGAAGCAGCAAGAAAAAGTTGTGAAACATGGGTTTTATGCTTTCAAACATTTAAGCTATGAGGTTGCAAAATTTCAGTGGGTAATAGGACCAGCTTCAAAAAAAGGAGCCCAATTTGGTCAAAGAAAGCGCGTGGCATATTCAGCTCACAAAAATATGGACTAGTATTAGGTTGTGCCGAAAGTTCTGCCGTTTCATTTTTGATTTGTAACTTTGCACTCCTCAACGGATTTGCATCCTTTTAATTTTATTTGAGAAAGTCTTTCGCTCTCGAATACTTTCCTTTCTAGCTTCTAATACACACTGACGGCAGAGATAAAAATGGAAAAAGAAGACCATATAGCCCTTTATTATTTTAAGTTAGGTCGACAAAAACCTGTACCGCTGAGGAAAATTCTGAAAACGTAAGTACATAGGTTTTTTGACCTACTCTTTGCAACTGTGAAAAGTTTGTGCTGTTCGGATGTGTCTGTAAAAAGTTATGATTTTCGAGAAAAGTGACGAATTAATTAATTTTGGCATTTTCTGCAGTAAGTCAAAATTCGTAACTTTTCACAGAAACGTCCAAACAGCACAAACTTTTCACTGTTGCAACGAGTAGGTCAAAAAACCTGTGCACTTACATTTTCAGATTTTTTTGCAGCTTTCAGATTTTTGGCAACCTTACTTGAAATGACCAAAGTTTTTATGGTCTTCTGCAGTCAGTGTGTATTAGAAGCCAGGAAGGAAAGCATTCGAGAGCGATAGACCTACTTTTTCAAATATAATTGGATGCAAATCCGTTGAGATAGCGAAAAGTTACAGATTTTCAAAATAAAAAGACAGAAATTTCGGGACAACCTGATACCACGGCATTTTCTATTTTGTTGCAACATGTGTGGAGTCTCGAGCATTTACTTTTTTATGTGACTTTTTTCCTTCAAAAATCTGAGCAAATAAGGTGTGTAATACCTGTGTATGGATAGGCATAGCATTTAGGCCATTTTCTCGGAAAGATTCAATCATATTCCAGATGTCGACCATATGCACTAAAAATACAATCATTAACGGCTCGAAAAAGTTCATTGTATAGATTCTTCGAAAAATTATTACATAGCACGATCTCACCATTAGTTTTCTTCTGGATAAATCGTAATTTGCATGCAGCGCGATAAGTAGCAAATCGTATTGAATCGAAATCTTGCACTCCTAAACATTTCGAGCTTTTTCAGTTGGATCAACAATCGGATTCAGATTCTGTGAAAATAATTTTAGCTAGAAGGAAAACTAAATTTGGTTCTCAGTATGCAGGTACCTGGGCGACTTCAAAAACTATCATCCCAAGACAATGACAAAAGTGATGGAAACGAAGATGCCCGAATAACAAATATCTTTCTTTTTTTGGTTGCCGGAAGTTCTAGCGATACCTTTTACGATCATTTCTCAGCTTCATTCACATATATTATGCAAATTCGTATTGTGCCGCTGATGAGATTGTTAAGAAGTGTTGAGCTTGATAATTACCTCAAAGAGGCGAAGAGTTCAATTTTAGAGGATGATAGCGATGGAAATTAGAGGCTGCGTTTCAGGCATCGCATTCAACTCCTTACTTTGGCCTGGTACCATATTCTTTGGCAAACCAATCAGGGCCCTCGAGTACGGTATGGGCAAGAGTACCGCACTGGAGTTCTCGGCTGTGAATGAGTCGCACTGGAGTTCTCGGCTGTGAATGAGCCTTTTCGTCAAGCGGCAGCTTGAAGAAAAGGCTTCTCAGTTTTTACTCATGTACTAAACCTAGGTAACCACAATTGAAACCTACTCGTAAGCTTTTTGACTGACTTTCTTATTTTCTTATGGTACCTTTCAGCTTGCGGACCTATGTTTTCCTAAAGCCCTCATGAGGACGTGCAATGGTCAAAAAATTTTTGGATTCTACTGAGGCTCTCCCCTGCCACGGGTAATCATATCGTTTTGATTAAGATAAAGAAAAAGTATCATATGTTCAGAGTTGCCTACACTGCAATCAAGAAACATTTGTGTGCAACTCTATGTGATTTATTTCTATAATAATTCAAGCAGTACAATTTAGATGTAAAATAGAACTCTGTAATACTCACGCATTTCGTCGATTAACGCTTGCATTTCACCCGAACAATCCGGTGCAGCCGAACCGGAGATCTCCGGTTGCACGTCCCCATTGCACCACATCTGAACAAACTTTTTCTTCGAATAAAAATCTAGATAACGAACAGACCAGGTCGCCGGATCAGGTATAGAATAAATGACTGAATACACATGAACTGAGAAGAGCAATTATAACTAAGCTCGCTCATAGAAGGATGATTCAAGCTTGAAATGCAAGAAACGATGGAAAATGAACGTTTTTACAAAGGAAGAAAATTGGTGCCAACAGAGTGCAGTCTATCAGAAATGAAAAGCAATTTCATAGTGGAAAGCTTTTTGCTTCGCAACAAATTAAGCGTTAACATCACAGACTCGCTAGTAGTTATAATCGTGCAAACAGATGATGCATCATTTTGAAAATCAATCAAAAAAGAGCGGGCAAAGGAATTGTAGCCTTCATACCTTTATGCAAAATCTATTTGAGTTAGGAAGAATAAAATCAAAATCTTCAAGCTAATGAGATCTTCACAGTTGAAATAAGTCAATATGACTCTAAATCATCCTCCACAGATTTTCACTAAAAAACGTCTTCTCTTCCAACAAATGGTCGACAGTAACCATTGCTGGCCAACAAGTTACACACCAATGTAAAATTCGGGCGAAAAATAAAGAAAACACTTTTAAGATGCACTACAATTTCTCATAACACAACACATGTGTCTGTCTTACCATATAAATGGAGATAATGGAATTCAAGTAGTAATGTCAACTTGAAAACTCGGAAATCATGTACCTAGGTTAATGAAAGCTCCAATCAGCGCAAATTTTGCTCACTTTGAATAAGTAGGCAGGCGGGGCTTCGTAACCTAATTAAGGCTAGGTAATAAACAGAGAACACGCGCGCGACAGAGACGCAGACTGCATTGCGCGCGCGAGCGGCCTTTAGGTCGCAAAGCCCCGTCTTCCAGCCGCCAAGCCAGTTGAATCAGAGGTTAGGTCGTGAAGTCATAAGCGAAAATAAAATATAATTCTCTTGGACCTTTTGACATTTTTAGCGAAAAATCTAAGTACGATTTGAATCTTTGTCTTCATCGACTTGCATCGCCAAGATATGCGAACATCCAGGTGCCAGTAAAAGAACATCCTATTGAGCTATATGTTGCAAAAAGAGAAGATTACGATTTTTTAAGAGTTTTACAGTAAGCCTTTTTTATTGAAAATGACTGCTCATCAACATAACGAGAGCCCGTTTTAAGATGGCAGAATAAAAAAAAAGCACATCTTACATTCTCTGAAGTATTGCGAGGTGTTCAGATGTTTGCAAACGTCAATTCTCCAACAATTGAATACGAATGCATCTAAGCTGGAGCGCTTGCTAATGAAGTACAGGTCTTCTGTAACTACAGACCCATGCCCCATCAAATCGACATTTGATTGACGGGACTGAGATATGTGCCGAGAAGCGGATGAGTTCAAGAGCACTTATCGTCAGAACAAGAGGATGCTGGCCGAATGAGCTACCAGATTTGCAGAAGAAACATAGATAAAGACGGAAATCAACAAATTCAATGAAAAATAAAAGGTCAATTGATATCGACTTCAAGCGAACTAGTAGACACTAATTAGATGACATGAACATCCTAAGAAAGGGCTCGGCAGGTGGCTTATAAGCAAGCTGGACATCGTTTTGGAAAAAAAGCAAAGGAGCTATCGTTCTTAAGGATGGCAAACACGAGTAAAATTAGTTTTTTTCGACGTTTAGGTTTTTTAGGGTTTTCTAGTAAGGGTCAAAGGGCACTTCCAAAATTTTTGACGAAGTCAGGGGCGGTTCGTTTTTTGTATTTTCGGAAAGCCACCTCGTGCCGAGCTCTGCCTAAGAATGCTTGCTAAAGAAACTTTTTGTGGGTTTTGAAAATCTATTAGTCATTTTGAAGTGAAACTTGGAGACCTCGAATTTTATTCAGAGTGGCAAACTGCAGAAAAATTTAGCGTATTCATTTTCATTTTGTCTTTAGCAAAATGCATCTTGCAACAAAGACTTTCACTGTTCAAATATACAAATATGAGTCCAAGGTTGAGAGATTTATTTGAGCATAATGAGATGTGAAGCATATGAGTTGTTGTGATCAAAAATATAAATAAAAATTCGTGGTATCATAGAATAACTTCAGAAAAACATTGAATAGGGACAATTTCAAAGCGAAACAGAGTCAAAAATGGAAGAATTCCAAAAAGGATCCGTCTCATTATAATAGAAATGCAGCAAACTTGGGCATAAGCAGACTTACAATAGAAAGAGAAAAGGGACAATTAACAGCTAGCTGATATGAGAATTTTCAAAAAATACAGTTCTGTAATAAGTTACACATTTAAGCGACGCTGCCACTTACAGCAAAATAAAATAAAGTGAAAAAGCTGCACAAGAATTATTTATGCGAAGTGTGGGTGTTAATATGAAATGCGAAATGCTGATTGAATAGCGGAGTTTTCTCGCCCAAAGCACAAGTAATAAAAAAAGTAAGCCATAACTCAAACACAGTTCAGAGTAAAGAAATAAACTTCACAATTTAATCCGCATATGAGTAGATTTCGAAATGAGGATGTTATTGGAGCAAGGGGTAGATCAAAATAAGCCCAATATTGAACCCCTACCCCTGCAGTAGAGGTGTAGAGTGCAAGCAAACGGGGGATCAATTCGGGAGAGTTGAAGCTGCCCGAATCCTCGGCCACACGACAATGATCATCCACTCATCCATGAGCCTCATCGCCTCGCTCTATTACACCGAGCCGCGTGTCAGCGCCGGAAGTTGCAATCAAAAATGCGTGCAAACTGGTCCCCGATGATGTATGCTTGGTTGAAATATGATCTCGCATCCATGCTTGATCAATCGAATGAGATTCAGACAGAGGAAAACGCCTGCACACGAGAAAATGAAGCAGATATGGTACAAGGGCATACTTTGAATTATTACTTAACTCATTGACGACGATGTGGGCCACCGGTGGCCTACACCTCTTGCAAAGTCATATTAGTTGTAGTTTAGTATTTTTTCTACATATTGCTATTTATTCCAATTTTTTGCACTTTTGGGGCCTGTAAGCTTCGTCGTTTAAGAAAATATTTATAGTTTACAAAACAACTTTGCATTTCGTAAATAACCACAAAACTCTTCCCATACCGAAAGTGTTGTGCAAAATCGCGTCGTCCCACAGCGCCGCCACGCAAAATAGGCGTCATCGTCAACGGGTCAAAAACCTTGATCAGAAGACTTTCTTAAGGAGCCAGGATGTATCAGGATAGAATTACTTACAGTCTCTTTATTACAAGGTTAGCAAGAAAAATGATTTCGGATTTTTTTTATCGGTTTCTATGCATGAGTCATTTGTAAATTGATAAGTGAGATTGCACACAGCGCGTCGCAACCGACGACCTTACCAAAACTCGTAAAAGCTTATCCAGCCGATCAAGCTGTGGGGTTGTGTCTATTATTTTAATCATCAAGCCAGAAGAGAGAAGAAATCCAAGGAAAATCCCTTACAAAAAAGATTCTAATGGACATGCCGTGAGGTAGCGCGCTCTTAGTGCAATATGCAACTGACAAGCGATGTTCGCCTAATCGAAATGGCCGTTTGATACGTGGTATATACCCGGGCGCGGGGCTCGGAAGGTTATTATCAAATGTGCGCCCATTAGCTGCGACGCGTTATTGTGAAGCAAGTTATGGGCCTCTGAAGTTTTTGGCGTGTGCATGTCTAGAGAATGCACAAATGCTCCGACTGTGGTCGTGTGGTGTAGTGGTTAGCGTCTTGGACTCACAGGTGACCGGTGAGGGTTCGAATCCTGTTGCTGTCCACATGTTTTGCGTTCTTCTCAAAAATCATTTTTTTACCTGTTTTATGTATTATTGAGGTATAAAATGACACACACGGGTTACGGGATGATTTTTCTCACGAAAATTCGACCAATGCTTCATATGTAAAATTTTCATAGTACATAGTAACGACTTTTTAGCGAGGCTTTTCAAATGACTTTGAAGATTTGCCAAATCCTCACTCCCACATACTTTCTTCGATTCACGTAGTATTTAATCGACAATCTCCAAGTTGTATCACGTCGTATTGATTCTTGCTAATGGGCTACCTTGTGAGAATGACACAGCAGGATGTATAATTAGTAGAGTTTAACCACCCGTATGTGTCATTTTTTACATCAGTAATGCATAGAACAGGTAAAAATGAATTTTGAGAAGAACGCAAAACATGTGGACAGCAACAGGATTCGAACCCTCACCGGTCACCTGTGAGTCCGAGACGCTAACCACTACACCACACGACCACAGTCGGAGTGTTTGTGCGTTCTCTAGACATGCACACGCCAAAAACTTCAGAGGGCCATGACTTGCTTCACAATAACGCGTCGCAGCTAATGGGCGCACATTTGATCTAAGCTCCCGAGCCCCGCGTCCCGGTATATACCACGTATCAATCGGCCATTTCGATTCGGCGAACTTCCCTTGTGAGTTACAAATTCGACGATTAAAAAAACTTTAGCCAACTCAATGGTACCGTAGTCAAAAATGAAGAACCAAAATATATTTCTAATAAACCGCAAAACGTCTAGCAGCATACACCAACTTCAAAGTCGATCCTAAAACTTGGACTCGTTCCAAAAGCCTTCAGACGAAAAGTTTAGCATTACCTGAAGTTAAGCTAGCTGCTCAAGTGCTCGGACAACATTCCACTTCATTTGGTGTATGAGGGTCACGAATGTATTTGACCTATTACAATGGCATAAGCCAACCACAACGGAATTCCTGTCCTTTTCGCCCCCCCTCCCCCCCCCCCCACCTCCAAAACTCTTTACGAGACAGGCGCATTTACTAAAAAGCCCAACTGTGTTTTTACAGGCATGCCTATGAAGACTTTGTGAGCAGAAATTTCCAACGGAAGGGGAAAATTGTGTGAGTCGGATTACATCTCAGCATGTGTATAAAGAATAGCCAAGCGATTGAAGACTGCAATTACCTCCGCAGCTGAGCTCTTTTCGTTCCGCTTAATCAAATTTATCGCACTTTTACGTAGCCTCCGTT